TACATGACATAATTAGAAGACCTCCATTTTTATTTGTAACCACCTTTCGAGGGGTTCGCAACGGGCCTGTAATCTCGTAGACTGTAGTCAGTAATCCTTAATAATCTGAGGAAATCCTTTGTAATCTTGAAATCCCATGTAATCCTTTAGGAATCTATAGAATCTCTGTAATCTGGAGGTAATCCAAGGTAATCCCTGTAATCTGGAGGTAATCCCTGTATTTGGAAGTAATCCCAAAGCAAAGATGAAAGATATCCGGAGATAAACTAATAATGAAGTCACTTAATAATAATTATTATTATTAAATGTAGGTTATACACCGATGAGGAGGTTTCCAAGGAATTTGGAAACCGAGGGCGAAGCCCGAGGTTGACAAATTCCTTGGAAACCGACAAAGAGGTGTGTAACCGATTTAAACTATACTATGAATATTATTAAGATCACGTGAGTGACCAGATTGCCACGTTGTAGACTAGTAAATGGAACAATGGCTACTTGTCAAGAACTTGAAGGAGACAATAGTGATTGCCAGAGCGATGATTTGTTTCTACAGGCATCACAGATGTACGAGGAAAGCTTGACTGAGGTCAGTAATGATGCAGATGACCTCCTATTGCTACAGGTGTCTCAGATCTATGAGGATTCGTTACTAGAGGCAGATCGACCAGATCCTAGTCATCCTACAGTTGAAGCAGGTGGCATAATGGAGCCCTCTAGCACTATTTCTAACACCAGGTTTGCCAAACTGGTGAGCGATGAAGAAATAAGGTCGCGTATAGACCCCTTTAGGCGAGAATTAGTTTGTGATACCGTATATACAAAAGAAATAATATTGAACGGATTTTTGTCCACCATGTTTTACGTCAAAGTTATGCAGAGTTCCAATGGCTGATGTGCAAAGTAGAGCTGTTTTGCCAATAAAACTTTTGTTGTGCTGAACTCAGGACTATGAGAGGCTTCATATCAACTGTTCTTTACTATAGCAAGATATTTTGAAGACTTAAGAAGTCTGGGAGAGCCAGAACGACCAGTTCTTGACTCTCTGTCACAGCCCAAAGAGGAAAGCAGGCTCATACAACAAGAGTATTGCACTATACTTCCTAGGTTGGCTCTCTTGGCATCTTTCTTGACTCTAGAATAGTTTTTAGCTTCAAAATGTAGTGACTAAGATCTCCAGGACACAGAAAGCACTTGCTGCTTGACGTAAAACATGGCGGCCAATTATTGTATGTGGGCGTATACCGTAACTGAGATATAATGATATTCATTGCAAAATTAATGATATTCACAAGCTGCTACTTCTCGCCAAAAGGGGTCTATAACTACAGCTATACCAAGATCAACAGCCAAAACAACGTCATGGGCAGTGAAGCTATGGAACCTGTGGGCGCAATCTAGGGCGATGGAAGATGGAGCAACACCGCCTCAACTTGATCAGATTACTAACGACTCCCTTAATTTTTGGTTGTCTCGATTTGTTATGGAGGTAAGGAATGAGCAAGGTGAAGAGTATCAAAGCGGAATGTTATACAGTGTATGTGCTGGTATACAGCGGTACATTAGAGAAAAAAGATTGGCTTTTGGTATTGCTGAGCCTCTGGATATATACAAAGATCATCGTTTTAATC